TATATATATATATATATATATATATATATATATATATATATATATATGTGTGTGTGTGTGTGTGTGAAGATATTTTTATGTTTATACATTCTTTTTTTATAGATACAAATATTTAAGTAAATGTTCTGTTTATAATAAACAGTATTAAACAACATTTACCGGCCTGAATATAAGAGAAATTTTCATAGAAATTATTTGTCCTACTACAGGAATCGAACCGGTATACTATAGCCTAACGTGCCTTAACCGATTGAGCTAAAGAGGATCGTTCGGTTAGCAAGGTCGATGTTATTGCTTTTAAACTACAATCTTCCTTGAATCACACACGTACATTCATATCTGCTCATGGCGTATCGAAATATAAACAAATGACGTCACACATGAAAACTCAGGCATATATATATATATATATATATATATATATATATATATATATATATATATATATATATGTATATATATATATATGTGTGTGTTTGTGTGTACTTACGCAGCTATCCTTCTTCATGCGCATTTCATTGAAAACGACAAAAGAAGTGGAGCTTTTATTTAGTATTTTAGACAATTTCTCATGCGATCTAATACTTTTTTTCTTTTCGTATGATAAATTATATAAAAACTGTCCGAATGTTCTTTTTATCCGAGCGCTTTCGGCTATACATTTAGCCATTTTCAAGGGGTATATTTTAACTGTTAACTACATAAACGAACCTTGTCTATCGTTTTCAATGAATTGTGCATCTTTATATATATATATATATATATATATATATATATATATATATACTGGGTGTCCATAAGGTTTGTGTGCACTTTAAAAAATTTGTAATTTTATTTATATTTGCGATAGAAATACTTTGTAAAAAGTAAATCTATATATTCTTAAGCTTTTATTGAAATTTTATTCAAGTTTCCACATGTCCTCCATCATTAGCAATACAAAGGGTAATACTATTTTACAGTTCACGGAAAACATTTGCCAACTGTAACAATTAAATTGTGTGCATATGTCATGTGTATGTTTTCAATATTATGGAAATGTTTTTATTTTCTGAACACAGCACATTGTGGCCGTATGCTGGGTTTTTCTTTTTTATTATTAAGGCTTCCATTATTTTTAATCTTTTTTTAAATTGTTCGAACACAAGAAATATTAAATAAAAAGCTTAATTATAGTACCTTGTCAGTTGTCTTTCAGGTAACATGTATAAGTGAAGAATTGCTGCCTAAATACTGAATATATATGTGTGTGTATGTGTGATAATATATATATATATATATATATATATATATATAAATATATAATATATATACATACATACATACATATATATATATATATATATATATATATATATATATATATATGTGTGTGTGTGTGTGTGTGTGTGTGTGTGTGTAAATAAAAAAAAAAACAACAGTATGATATATAATCCGGTGTTCTTATAGATATTTTATTTTTACAAAATAGTGCTCAATGTAAATTTACAGAACATTAATATTATAAATTAATTGATTTAAAATATGGTTTTTTCCGCTACACAGTTCTAACCATGTTTCAAACATGTTTTTAAACATGGTTAGAAGTGTGTAGCGGAAAAAAAAACATATTTTAAATCAATTAATTTAATATATATATATATATATATATATATATATATATATATATATATATATATATAATGAAAAGGCTTAAACACTAATATTCCTTTTTATTATATTCTTACTCTGTCCTGGACATTGAGTTCTACCTGGATTCTTCCTCTTGGAATTTTTATTAAAAAATATACATGTGTGGGTATTTATATATTTTGCATATGTATGTATATTTACCACTTATATTATCTATATATCTATCTATCTATCTATCTATATATATATATATATATATATATATATATATATATATATATATAATCTAGAAGAAACCTCAACAGAATGCAAAAAGCACTGGACGGCCGTCCGTCCTATGTTTGCGACTCATCAACAGTGTGCTTCCACTACCAAGAATCGAACCCGGACCGTAACGATACGACGTTGCGTTTTCTTCTAGACTCGATGTATTCCCAGATGGAGTATATCTGTGGAAGTTACAAAATGAATCAAATGTCAAGAGGAAAATTTAGACAGAGTCTTAGGTGAAGCGTTTTGTCATCTGATGAATTTTATCAAAGCAAATGTAATAGTTATATTTTGCAAAATGATTTTAAAATCATTACATTTGCATTGATAACAGTCCGTCAGATGATGAAACGTGTTGGCTAAGACTAAGCATAATTTTTACTTTTGTCTTTATATATATACATATATATATATATATATATATATATATATATATGACAAATTGGAAAAATGTTTTCCTGTGACGTATTTCGCCGTTTAGGACTTCATAAGGCTAAATTTTCTAAATTTTGTTATGTTGGTGGGTCTACACATACACACGAATGCTTGAAATTTAAATTTCTATTTTACTTTTTATTTAAATGTAGATGACTTCATTTCTTTTTCTTTCCATAATTTTTATCAGTCGATATCTTGTACTGTGATAACAGATATTCTGTCAAGAATGGTGAAATGTTGTAAGAGCCAGAGCGCAAATCTACTGTAGATGACCTTGCAATCAAGGCACTCTCTGGACATTTACTTCGTGGTGAATTGTTTCTCCTTTGACTAGAGTAGCATTTTGATATCAACTTTGTGGTCAGTCTCGTTAGGGTCGGTAATCAACGTATTTGATGTATTCTTTTGTAAAATGTCCCTTTTGTGTTCATATAATGTTTTATTTAGTTTCTTTGAGGTTTCTCCTATGTACTTTTGTGACAATTATTACAGGCGATCGACTAAATACCTACTTTAAGAATCTAAATGAAATCGGCTAGATTAAAAAATATTATAACGTTCTCGTTCACTTTTCTTGTTTATAGCAGTGCTTCGAAGTTGAGATTTGCCGTCTCATTGCACTAAAGAGGTTCCATCAGTAACCATGCCTTGTGTAGTAATTTTTGGGCAAGTACAAAATTCCCCAGGTCCAATAATGACTATATTCCTCAGATCACGCCCTTCACGGCTTTTTTTCTCTTGACAAAACGTAAATCTCACTTGAAAGGAGAGGGATCTCAAGGCGACAAAACAATGCGACGACGCGCCTGCTCGCTAATCCCCCAAAAGGAGACACAATAATTCTTCAATCTGTGGAAACGACACTGGATAACGTGTGTGGTTTCAGAAGGGGACTACTTCGAAGGGGATTACTTACAGAATAGATATGTATTGTAGTTTTCTTTTTATAGCTACAGCCCAGATACGTGCATTCTCATATATATATATATATATATATATATATATATATATATATATAAGAAGAAGAGAAGTATAATTTTAAGGAGTGATATATTTATTGGATAAAGTGCTCAATATCAGAGATAGAGAGTATATAAATATAAAAGTGAACATTGAAGTCGACACTCACAGGCGACCGCTGTTTCAAGCGAGACTCAATCATCAAGTCGCAATAATTTTAGCATGAAACAGCCTGTCCCTCTTAGTATTGATTTCAATGTTCACACACACACACACACACACACAAACGCACACGCACACGCACACCCCACACTTAGTGCACCAGGTCCCTGTATCCAGACCTTCAAAAAGTGTGGTTGGTTCTGCACAAAGCCTTCACAATTATAATCAAATCATATGTGCTGGTGTTAGGGCGATCGGTTCCTAGGAACTGAGATGCTTGACCCTGATACGTCGAATACGACCCTCATATGTCGAATATATATATATATATATATATATATATATATATATATTTTTATAAAAAAAATTATAACATAAGTATGTTATAAAATCACTACAAAATAGCCATTTTGTTTCAACACACTCTGTGTCTTATCAAGTGATGATGTTGAAAATAAAATAAATGGTTTTAAAAGTTTCAGATTAATTAACGATCCTACACTAGGGGGAAACATTGTTACAAAAGCTAGAATAACCAATCAAAAACGAAGTATAGAAAGATTTAAAAGCTTGACAACGAAATCATGCTATAATAGCTATTCAGATCTTTAAATACGTGTAATATTAAAAATAATTTATACTAACTAATAATTATAAAATTATATGATAAAATTTAATATTAAAATTAAAAAACTGGCAATTTTAAAATCCAAATTTAATCACTATTAAGTTTAAAAACTACAAAATTATTGAGAAAAAAAAAAAATATATATGTTTATGCAATTCATTTCTTCATTGAAATTACGTTCGACAAGACAAGACGCTACAATACATCCGGTCATTTGACAATACATGTATATATTTTTTTTTTTCCCTTTTTCCCTTTCTTTTCCGTTTTTATTTTAAAGTTTGTGAATGTGGTCTTAAACTCACGCGTAAAAACAACAAAAAAACAATCAGATTATAATGCATAAGCACCCAGACATAATTAGATACACACACACACACACACACACACACACACACACAAACATACACACACACTAAAAAAAAAAAGGAGGTGGGGGGGATACATGAACATCTCTACAGCCCTTTATGAAAAAAGGAGACGTGGAAACTAACACTTATACACACACACAGTTAAATGTGAATACACTCTACATACACATAGACACCGATATATACACATACATACATCCACAGACAATGACATAGACAATGAGAAATCACAACCAATAAATATTTCAGACTTAAATAAATGCTAACCACTTATTGAATTATAACTTAAGGGGAGCAAATATACAAAAGATAAAATGGTTAAAAAATAATATTATTTAATATATTAAAACGAAAATTCTAAAACCATAAATATCAAAAAATATATATATATATATATATATATATATATATATATATATATATATATAGATATAGATATAGATATAGATATATATATAGATATATATATTAGTTCGTTAATATTAACAATAAGCGCTCCGATATTTAATAGAATTCATTTCGTCTATCAGACTGTATACTCGAGAAAACTTAATAAAGAAAATAACTTCTTCTTCTCCCTCCTCCTCCTCGGATAGATAGATAGATAGATAGATAGATAGATAGATAGATAGATCCAAACCTTGGTAGAAAGAAAGAAAGAAAGAAAGAAAGAAAGAAAGAAAGAAATAGACAAAAAAGACAAATAAATGAAAGAAAAGTAAAAGACTAAGAGAAGCATGCGAAGGAAAAGAAGGAAAGAAAAGATGAAGAGGAAAGAAAGAAAGAAAGAAAAACAAGTCGAAGTGAAGAAATAGGAATGTAAGAAAGGAAGAAAGGCAGACAGGAAGGAAGGAAAGGAGGAAGAAGGAAGGAATTAATGAAGGAAAGGAAGAAAGAAGGAATGAAGGAAAGAAGGGAGGGAGGGATGGAGGAAGGAAGGGAAGGAAGGCAGGCAGGACGGAAGTAAGGAAAGAATGAAGAGAGGAAGGAAAGAAGAAAGGCAGGCAAGAAGAAGGGAAAGTAGGCAAGAATAAAACTTGTGAAACAGTAGATCATGAAAAAAAGGAAGTGAAATAAGAAATGGGGAGAATCGGGTTGCAATTACATGCATACATACATACATATGCATATATATATGCATAGATATATGCATGCATACATTGATAGATGCATACATACACGCAGATATATGCATGTATACATTCATAGGTACATACATACATGCATACATACATATATGCATGCATACATTCATAGATACATACATATATGCATGAATGTATTCATAGATACATATATATATATATATATATATACATATATATATATATATATATATATATATATATATATATATATATGCAAGCATACATTCATACATACATACATGCATACATATATGCATGCACATATTCATAGATACATACATACACGCATAAACACATACATATATGCATGCATACATTCATAGAATATATACATATATATACATTCATAGATATATACATATATACATGCATACATATATGTATGCACCATATAAATACATACATGCATACATACATTTATGCATGCATACATACATAGATACATACATATATGCATGAATGTATTCATAGAT